ATATCCTTCACAAAAAGTCACAAAGTGAGTAGTCTGTTGTTCAGTGTGAGCAGATAGCCAACCATTGACTTCATCCCCATTAGATCCAATCATGCTTTATATTGTCATTTCATGTACTGTGTAATTATTATAAGTGATCCTCGACTATTTCACGTATTATATTCTGTTTATGGTTTTATATCTTTTAATGTCTCCAAAGCATTTTTTCCTCTGTTTTGCTGCGCTATAACTAGCCACTGTGGAAAAAATATACTCTGAAATTTCTTCTCTCTTTTTCCTATGCGTGATAGTAGCAATGAAAGCATTCATGTACAAATTCATAAAGTCTTCTAAGAAGCTTCCCTGATGCTGCACCACTCCCCACCCCACCTCCCCACCCATTGCTGCTCTCTTTCTTACATGGTTTTTGTTGTGTTAATAAAGCCCATTTTCTATTTCAGCAAAGTGAACATCTCTAAATACTTGAGACGGGAAGGTTTAGGGTGGTAATGGTTCCTGATGGGAATACTGGTCCTGTACAGGAAAATAAGCTGTTAGAAAAGGTAATCACTGTCTAGTTATCATTGGGTGATGCAAAAAAATGCTGTTGTGAGGAAATTGTGTCCTTTTTCTCATTGCAGTTCCTTTCACATTTTTAAAGGGAATGGTCAAAGTCCAGAGTCTTTGCATTTATACTGTCCTGGGAGTAATATGACCTTGATGTAAATTTTAAGCTATCAGCAGGGTGATGTAGTCACAAGCCAGATGCTATCAAATTGCTAAGTTGCTTAGGACTGATTAAAGAAAAATAAAAACCCCCACAATTTTTAGTTTGGATGTGGAAACTCTGCCAGTTGTTCCTATTTGCTTAGAGATCACACCCAAGAGAAAAAAAAATATTGTAAGAGCAGTCAATGTATGTAGTAAAACCCATGCAAGTTATGCGCAGATGTGTTATTGTTAGTCAAGTTTGCTCACTCCAAGCCTCTATACAAAAGAAACAATTTCTTGCAGGGGCAAATGAGATTAATCCACACTTTCTTTGTTAGATCAGGGAAAGGTAACAAAAATTTTGAGGGCAGTGGAAACTGAGGGGGAAGCAAGACAAGGAACTTGAAAGTGAAGGAAAAATAGAGTAAGGCAGGCTTCAAAGGTGGAGAATGAGAGGAGGTGGTTCGTATTATTCCCAGAAAGTTTTAATCTTCATATTAATTTACTAATTTGTAGGAAATTGCATATTAGATCAAATAAAGTGACCTAGTTTGCCTGGTACTCTTCCTTTGACAGTTTTCAGTTTAGATGACTCCTACAGACAAGCTTGGAAACTAAATCAATTAGAAGGTGATGGATGCACTGTCTTTATGTCCCTTAATTAAAACTGCACTTAGAGTTATCCATTTAGAGTTTACTTAAATATATTTCACCAACATATATGTGTGTATGTACACCTATATAGGGACATGTGTGTGTGGATATATAAAGAGTGAAAGCTTCAGATAATCCTTAGACCAAAAAAAAAAAGAAAAGAAAAAAAATGAAAAAAGGTTTTCAGGAACACTTGAGCGTTTTTCTTTGCTCCTTTTATCTCACAGACAACTAAAGCAATGATCAGTTGTCACAGTGAGTTGACTATTGCAAGTTTCTGCATTGTCTGAAGTATGGTCTAAATTTTTACTTTATTATTTTTGTTTCTGCCTTCCTTCTCTGTTTATTCACTATAACTAATATGTCTAATATGACTAAGATTGTCATTACCTTTCTTCAGTTGTGTTTACCTCTCTAGCCTTTCTTTGTGGGTGCTCTGGTAGATACTCCTATTTAAAGATGAAACTGCAGAAAGGGTAGTAAAGTGCATACCAGATGGTACCTAACTCAGTAGTCTACTTGTTCTATGTCAAGCTTTTTCAACTTCTCTATATTCACAAATTCACTACTGTTTACAGAAACGCTTAAGAGAGAGAGCAATTTTGCATCACAAACGTGGGGAAAAAAACCAAAAGAGTGGCATGGCTTTACTAAACTGACAAACCATTTTCCTGGAGTTTTCTTGTATAAGTTTTTACCTTAAAACGGCAGTTCCAAAGGTAACAGAATGTTACAGTAATTAGATGTAAATCGGCAGTGTATATCCTTTCATTACCTTCATGAAACACAGTTTTAAAATAGAACTGAAAAGCTAAAATGTGACTTTTTTTTTTTTAACTTTGCATTGTGTTCACTTGCATTTAGACTGCTTTTTTCTTACTCCTTATTATAATTCACCCAGAAAATCAGCTCTTTGCAAACCAAAGTATGCATTGTTTGTGTTTGTGGGATTTGGGTGAGTACATATTTAAATAAGGAAACATAATATGGGATGGGATAACATTCTTTGTTTGCCAGTAAAGGACGTGGGCAACCACTGGAACATATGGAAATCCTTATTTGATTAAAAAGCAATAGCTATGTTTTATTAGCCTGAAACAAGAAAAGCTGGTGCTTGGAAAGCTTTTGGTTTGGGTGTAGCTTCCACTGCTCACATCTGTGAAGTTCCTGGTTTTGAATGCTGAAAGAGGATTTCTCCATGTGCAAAACAGAGAAACTTATGATTGAGATCAGTAGTAAAAGAGGTATAGGAGTTGTGTTGAACGTGATTTGGTAAAACGCAATTTCTAGGCATAGTCCATCTTTGTAGCTCTCCCAAGAGTGTTGGAATGGGCTCAGTACCTCCTGCTGCTGTGGGACTCACTGCCTTAAACTAAACAGAGTTGTAGATTCTGGGCTTGGCACACATCTACTCTCTTTCTACAGGTATTTTCCAGTTTAAAAGACAGTTCCTCAGCAACAACATGCAGAATGTGATCTCCCAGTAAGAAATAGAAAAATAGTGAATAGAGATAGAATATGATTGCTTTTTCTCAGTCTCTGATAAACGTAGTAAGGAAAAAAGCAGGCTGGATGCCAAGTGAACTTAAAAACATGTAATAATGTGAATAATAGTGATATAAATAAACGGACATATTGCGATTTGTATCATTATTTTGATGAGATGACTGATGCGTGCAATGACTTCCTCTTCTGTCTGGTATTTCCTATCAGTGATGTGACCTTTGCAAGGCAGGCTGACAGCTCTATTGAAAGGGAATGTCTAACCACATATGTAATTTTTCTTCCATATGGTTGTGAACACACCATTATTCGATGCATTAAAATTCGAAAAAAGTGTCATAATCATCTTACCATCATCTTAACCATTGAGAAACTGAGAAAAAGAAATTTGTGCAAGACCTTAAATGTAGTTTGCTGTATCTAAATTTGTAAAATACTATTCAGTTCATGGGGCTGGATGTGGAAATCTGGCAGTGCACACAGAAAAATGATCCTTCATTAATTATGTTTATCATCAAAATAGTGAGGAGTCAGGCAAGATTTCAACTGTATTCTTTCTTTCTTGACAGTTGTTCAGAAATTGGGACAGGGCCCTGTTTCATGACCTCTGTAATGTACAGTGCTTTTTGATTTAATTATAATTACTTCTGTTTTGGTTTTCCTTAATGAACTGGTAAACGTTAAATAAAAACACTTTTCCCACATAACATACTGATAAAAAGCATGTGAATAATTCCAGGTTAGCCAAAACTGTTGTTTTTTAATCCCTAAATTTCATAAATCTTTTTGCTTCAGTCCTATCATCGTGCCAGTGTGTATCTGTATTTTTCTGTAAGCTACAATTTTTCTTTATAGGAAGAATCTACACTGTAGGTTGTGCATGAAAATAAGTGGATACGTTTGGGGCAAACTGTGAAAATTACTTGTTTTTATTTATTTATTAGATGTAGCCCGCAGTCATAAATATTTCAAGTGTTCATAAGAGTACTTGTATTTGTAGGTACCGCACAGTGCACTACTATTAAAATACAGAAGAAGAAATAAAGCTAAAACACTTGAATATTCATTAGTTCCCATCTTGACTATATACAAGTTACTAATAAGTGGTTGCCTGCGTAAAAAATAATTATATATGCCTACTGAAAAAGATTAACAGAATATGTCGGTTAAGATGGATGAAATTTAAATCTAAAAACATATTTTAACTGTTGTTCCCTGTTGAGAGAACACTTTGTTCAAAGTTCAGGTACCATTACCTTTGGGGATAATACAAAGCAGCAGAGTAGGTGTCTCATCCATAGACATACATTTTTAGCCTGTCAATTCATTACTGTATGTTTGTCTTTCCTTTGGAAAAATATTCTTTCCGTCACTACCCTTGAGCCAGTCCATGTCAGTTTTACTTATATTGAATAGTGATAATTTATTCAGAACTACTCTGCTTGACTCCAAGGTTTGTTCACACAATAACTTACTTCGCATGTTATGAATGGTGACATATGGGTGTTTACTGGTTTTGACTCAATTTTGAGAGAAATAATGCCTAAATTAAGAAAAAAGTAGAGATACTAATCACAGAGTTTTTTTCATTTTGATTTAATGGTGTTATTTTATACATTATATACATTGTTTAGTAGTTTCCTTTAAGACTTGGTAATATTAACTGTGCTAATGGTGTTTGGGCCCAAATGCCTTATTTTAAGTCTAAAAGTTTCCTCTTTGCCCATTTACAATTGTAGATGTTTCTCTATATTTTCCTTAAATCTTTCAGTAATTTAAGTCTGTTTGGGGGTTCTTTAAAAGAATCTGATGACAAGAGAGGCACAACAGCCATCGTGGATTATTTGCCTGTCTCTTCAGTACTATGATAAAGAAATGTTTATGTCGACAGAGTATAACTTAAGAATTCACATTGTGATCAAAGAGTACATGGGGTTTATATGCATTTTTTGTAAATAACAGTTATCTAACTTAATCTACATATAAGCTTTTAATGCTTCTTATAACTAGAATTTTCAAATTGTGACAAAGAAGCTGCCTGTATGACTGTGGGAATTGTGATGCTGAAGGTTGCTATATACACCACAATACGAGTTGTTATATCTAGGGACTGACAAAATTTTTCTTGTCATTGTCACATGTCTTTTGTTTAGAAGCACCTGAACAGACAGCACGTCTCTGTCACTCTCACCTGGTCTTATGGTCCATTAGGTAAGTCTGGGATTTTAACCCTTATTAAAATATAGTGAATGAAGAGTAGCCACTGCTACATCTTATAGGCTAGATTGGGGATTAGCAGAAAAATTAAGTGTGTTTTCATTCCATGATTTAGCTGACAGCTGGGAAGGAGTTGTCATGATACCCCTGCACTCTAGTCACATGAGAAAACTATTTAATGCTATAAATGCTATTTAAATTATGTTGTTGAATTTTGGTGGGATTTTATCTATTTTTTTACTTCTAGATTTGTTTTTTTTGAGGCAACGTTGATTTCAAACAGCTCTCTTACACAAGTTTTCTGATCTGTTCATTTTCTAAAGTGTTGCTTCCCTGAGTAAGATAAATGCAAATTGTTTTGGTAAAATATAAATTTCATAAGAATTGATTTGTAAAGCAATTTAGGTGGCAAACTCTGGTAGATTTGATTGGAGTTGCTTGAATGTTTGATGAATTTCCATACCAGTGATAAGAGATGGTTTCCATACCAGTGATAAGAGATTCTTAAAAAAGCCTGGAAAGAATGTTAGAAGATAGAGTGTGGCAAGTTTGGACATAGGCAACTAGGAGCTGGAGTAAAAGCTGGAATATGTTCAGAACTTGTTGCCTGAGGCCTCAAGTGATTCTCTCTGTTGAGGATTTAGCTTTGATTATTCCAATTTTTCTTATTCATTGGAATGAGTAATTAGAATAAAATATTTTTATAACAAATTTTGAATAGCTATGGCACGCATTCTCTCCATTTTTTTGTATTATTATTTGTAGCCCATAAACATATATATGCCTATAATGTCTTTTTTTTATAATGTATACAAGCTTATCCTATGTGACGGGTGACATGCGTAGTGCTCAAAAGCCCTGTTAATAGGAATTTCCTTCCTTATTACTATGAGGCAATACAATGTCCAGAAGCATTTGAAGATCAGGTCGGTTTTAGGACCGCCTAAAGCAAGTTAAATTGTTTTAATTGATTAACCAGGCAAGCGAACTGTTCTTTCTTACCAGGTCCACAGCTAATTTCCTTTGAGTTTGCAGCTGCTGTGAAGCATGCTTGGAGTTGGACATTGTCATTGATTGCATGGTATCTCCCCTGACTTCCTTTGGTGTTGGTGGTTTGTGTGAATGTTCATGCACGCAGATTGCTGTCAGTTGGGTCTCTGACATCTAGATGTTTCTGTCTCCTGAAACTTATCCCAAAGTTGTAAACTTTGGCTGGTAAACAGCATTTTATGAGATTTGTTATGATTTGTGCATGTTTTAATGTCTGACAACTTAATAACTACATGCTACTTCTCTTCTACTACATAGTACTGAACAATAACTATACTTGAAGGTTTGTATTTTCTGCATGTTATTAAAAGGAAAGGTATGCCTCAAGGCAGTTTGCAATAATTCTG